AACCCACCAGTGTGAATATAACCACGATGCCTGGCCAACAGTAGCCAGACGACCAGGAAGACGACACAGACGACCAGGATGAAGACGAAGTCGACCAGGAGAGCCTGAAGAGCTGAAACACCGCACAATCTCCAGACGACCCTGAAGAGCTGACACTGCATCGTCTCCAGACGACCTGGGAGACCCTGAAGAGTTGTAACACTACATCGTCTCCGGACGACCCTGGAGAGCTGTGACACTGCGTCGTCTTCGTGCTGCTCACAATAGACGACGCAACCCTGAAGAGTTGTAGCACTGCGTCGTCTCCGTGCTGTACCTTGCTGCCCACAATAAACAGACCACACTGAAGACACGGTGTCATCTCTGTGTTTGTAACACTACGCCGCTTGTCCCGGCTCTCACTCCTTCACTCAGGAAACCTGTTCGGCTGTCCCCCCTGGGTCGGGACACATGGCCCCCGAACAGGGACGGGACACGTAGTACACTTTATATTTTATAGATGTGTATATTTGACCACAATAAAAATACGGAGCAGGAAATGGAAGGTCAGGCTCCGTTAAGAGTCCTCAGCTGAGCATAGCGAATGGGCCCGGCTTCAAGTTACAGGCTGAGAAGAGGAGAGTTGACTTGGTGGCCGAGGGACTGTGAAGAGGTCTCTGTCAAGTTCAAGAGGAGGCAGGCGAAGCCCTGGCTGGGAAGTGCGAGTGAAGAAGAGACTTCAACTTCTGCTTCCTTGCTCCATGTGCATGCTCTTTTTTTTTTTGGAGTTTCTTTTCTTTTTCTTTTCTTTTCTTTTTTTGGCTATAGGCCATGTGTACTCTCCAGAGAGACAGACAGAAACAAGAAATCACAGTCCCTTCTTCTCCACTCTCCTCTCAGAGTTCTGGACACGCACACACATGCACTTGGCGTGAGTCTCAAGCTGCTGGATCTAGGACTTGAACCACTGTCAGCCATGTCGGAGTCTAGTGATGTAACCATTACGCCATCTGCTGGTTCCAACTGGGTGTAAGTTTTTTACAAAATATTTATTTATTTAATTCCATTTGTTATTATTATTTTTAAAATTTGACCAGAAAGAGATAAGAGAAGAGGTAGAGGAGAGAAAGGGAAAGTGAGAAAGCAAACTGCCAGGTGCTGGACTCGGACCATGGTCAGCTGGGTGGGAATCCAGCATGTTTAACTACCGCACCACCTGCCGGCCCCCGGGTGTGAGTTTTAAGCTTAAAACTTGCTGAGTCCAGGACTTGAACTGCAGTCGGCCCTGTGGGAATCCAGCGACATAACCATTACGCCATCTGCTGGTTCCAGGCCAGGCCTTTTCTAAGTTTTGAAGTTTCCTTCACAAAAGGAAAAGAACTTCCCCACCCCTGCTGAGGAGCGTCTTCCTCCTGGGTTTTTACGGGAGTCGGGTACAGAGAGGAGTTTTTTTGGCGGCCGCAGTGGGCAGTCCTGGTCTGGATCCTGGAGGCCGCCGGTGTGGACCCCTCTCAGGGCGGGCCTGTCCCCTGGCAGGTGCTGGAGCTCTATGGCAACAGGATCACCAGCGTGGAGTGCCTGTGCCTGCACCCGCCCCCACTCCTCCAGCACTTGGGGTTGGGCCACAACAAGCTGCCGGGCTCCCTGGAGAGCCTCTATGTCACCGCCAACTACTGGTAATGGGGGGCTGCTCTGGCCACGCCGCCCTGGGGCTCCCTCCTGTCCCCCCCCCACCCCCCGCTGGCTGCTGACTAAGACACAGTAGAAACAGTCCTGGGGTGGGGTGGGCAGCAGGTGGTGTGGTGGGTAGGGTACCAGACTCCCACATGGCCAACGGTGATTTGAGTCCTGGGCTTGGCAGCTTGAAAATCACACCGGGCACGTGTGCATGCATCCCCAAATCACAAGGAGAATGGAGGAGACGGGATTGCGGCATGGCCCCCTGGGGATTTCTCGCTCTCTCACTGTCTCTCACTGTCTCTTTCCCCACCTGGGCTGTACCGACACTGGGGCTGGCTTGCTCTCGAGTGGAGTGCCTGGCGCGGGGCAGGGCAATCGCAGCTGCCCGGCCTTCGCCCACTAGATGCCAAAGCAGCCCCCACCAATGGTGGCGATCAAAACTGTCCCCAGACAGCTCCTAACGCACGATCGCCCCAGGCTGAGCACTGCGGCCCTGGAGACAGCTCCTGCCACAGCGGGGATGCTCCGCTGCTGTTGACATCCCAGTCCCTGACAGGGGACTGTGCAGGACAGTCGCCTCCCTCGCTGTCCTTGGTGGGCAAGCCGTGGCAAGCTTAGAACGTGGATCTGAAAAGCAGGAGGGGGTCAGCGATCACACACTGAGGCCGTCAGAGGAAGCCTGGCTTCTCAGAGCATGCTGGGAAAGTCCCAGGATGCCAGCAGCCGGGTCATTTGTGGGGGCCCTGTTGCTTCTTTCTTCACAGCCTGGAAAAGGGCAGGTGACATCGCCCCTCCTCCCCGGGGAGCCTAGAGGAGACTCAATGGGTCCCTCTCAGGCTGGCCCCGGGGCCTGGTGGTTAAGGAGCCCGATCCCACGTGGTTGGCATGGTGGTTTGAATCCCAGTACCAGTAGCTTGCAAAATACACCGGGCCTGCATGCGTCGGGCCCCAAGTCCTGGAGAAGTGGAGAAGGGATTGCTGCATGACTGCCTGGTTGCGAATTCTTTCTCCCTCTGTCTCTTGCTGTCTCTGTCTCTCTCTGCCCACAATTTCCTCTTCCTCCCCTTTTCTTTCACGCCTGGCTGGGGTGCAGGCGGTCTTGGCTGTGAGGAGCCGGGACCCCTTTCTCCCATTGCCCGCTGCTGTCTGGGAGTAAGGGAGTAAATCTAACAGAGAGGGGACCAAGTGCTTCGGACCCGGAGACAGCGGGGTTCGGGCACGTGCTGGGACAGAGCCCGAGAGCTCTGGCGTCTGGCTCGGGAAACACTCGCCGTCACTCAGGCCACCCCCTGATGGCCAGGGTGGGTCTCATGAGGATACCCTTGTGAGACCTCCGCCCTAGGTTGTTTGGAGGTGGGAGGTGGCTGTGGGAGTGACGCTGGCGTTTCCCTGGAAGAGGGCTGGGGCTGGGCCATGCTGATCCCCACAAGCCTTCTTATGGGGCTACCCACGGCCATGTGCCAGCCTGGTTCCGGACTGAAGCCCCAAGAACCCTCTCCCTGCCCCCCTGTTGATTCATCCCCACACCACCCGCCGCTCCCTGACCGCAGCCCCTCCGCCCCCCGCCATGCGGTCTGTCTGCTCTTTCAAGGGCCTGCTGGGTACACAGCACCCTGTGGTGTTCCGCAAGAGCCTCGAGACAGCCACCAGGAGGAGGAGGCTTGTGTCAATCAGAGTCGGGCAGAGGCAGCGCTGATGCTCTTTCAAGGGCCTGCTGGGTACACAGCACCCTGTGGTGTTCCGCAAGAGCCTCGAGACAGCCACCAGGAGGAGGAGGCTTGTGTCAATCAGAGTCGGGCAGAGGCAGCGCTGA